GGGGCGTAGACTACAAAGTTTTATACGGGGAGGCTACACACCGAGGTCCAATACCTAACCCTTATGTATATCATTTAGATAGACAAGGTAACCCTGCCGTACACCTTTTATTGGGAAAAAATACCCCTTTCACATACGCACTTAAGAACACGCAATCCTTCCCTAAATTCTTGGAATGAAGTTAATGAACAGTATTACGGGAGACCATCAAGCATCCCCGGGATACAACAACAAGGTGCATCTGATCGAAATATTCTTATTACAGGCCCTTTTAAATACTGCAAGATTTCCCTACCCTTTCATATACAAGTTGTGAAATCCCTACCCTTTCATAAACCTCAACTTGTGAAATCCCTAGCCTTTTATATACCCTTTAAGCCTGAAAAAGGCACCCCTTTCGGGCGGAGCCTACCTGTATAGGCCATTATAGGGAGTATTCCCCGCCCCCGGGCTATTATGGCGATTTTGCTGCATTAAGTCAAAGCTGTGTTAAAATTATTACTGAGTATTCTCGCTTGTGCACATAATGCTCCCAGACATTTAAGATGAAGATATTCATTGAATTTTTAAAAAGAGCTTAAATACTGTAATTTGATGTTTGAGATTTTTCGGAGACACCCTGATGGAATTTGGCAGAGTCTTCAAATTTATTATAGCGCATGACATGCGCATGCATAACTCTTTACAACGACAAGTATTGCAGCAAATACAACGCAACAACAGCACAGGACAGCGCAGCAAATAATACAAACTGTTGAAAGACACGGGGACTGTGTTGCCTTTGTCGGTCCATTCCAGCCACATACGGGTTCTTGAGAATTTCCACTCCACGAGAGCGATTTCCTGAGAATAGAAAAGATTTCACTTGTATTGTGAGGGTACAAGGTTCAAGAAAACTTACACCAAGAAACGTCAATGGGATTACTAGACTCAGCTAGAACTCGATGGTCGTACCATATCCAAGTAGTCTGGACGAAGTACTCAGTGAATTATCTATCATAATTGCAAAATCTTTCTATTTTTTTTTTTCTTTTTTGATTCCTTTTCTTTGTGTTTCTCTCTAAGCTCATTTACCAAAACATCCATTCAAATTATTATTTGCCATAACTGGGTTGAGACAATCAGAAAACATGTATGCTTCGCAGAGAAAACTTACCATGACTCTGTCAAATGAGTTATTCATCATAGCGATCAGCATGTTTAAAGCTACGATGACGGTGCACACCAAGTGGGCTGTCATAAAAATGCGACCAAATGTGGACGTGAGTGAAAAGGCGGGATCTTCCACTGAGATTTTGTCTTCTTCCACGAGGCCAAGTAACAACCAAAACATTCCAATGAAAGTGTCAACTTGCCTAGAAGGAACAATTCATAATAAATTTTAATGGTTTAATTGAGGTCAGTCGACACTATCATTCTGTTAAAATTAATACAATATCTTTTGTTATACGTACTTGCCATAGGGATGAGACGCCTTGTAGCCCTGACTGTCGTCCAGTTCTCGTAGTTTGATCTGCGAAGCAACATAGTACGAGTATATCTTGGCCACCCCAGAAGCAAATGCAATGTAGAGGAGTAGAAAGATGGGGAGAAACTTGAGAACAGCTTTCAGCATTTTGTAAGGTGATAGCTGCAAAGGACCCAACACTGAATTGACTTGGAAAACGTGACCTAAGTGGAAAAAGGCCATCACCGTGGCGCTGGCGTAGATGGTATCCGCCACGATAAATGCAGATTTTCTGGGCTTCCACTCTCCGTAATACCCCCATGCACTCAGCCACACTGTGTAAGCCACAAGAAACAAAAAGACAATCAAGGTGTCTACGACATTCCACCATTTGGAAATGTAATTGAAGAATCCTTGTCTGCTGGCCTCCAAGGCGTCCTGCAGGAATAGACCACCAACAAAGGCAAGCACCAGCCAGTCTGAGAATAAATTCAAACAGAGAACAATTTTGGCCCTTCGGGAGAATTGGTTCCTGGAATGTTAAAGCACTTTGTACCGAATCTAATTGTTATTATTGCAAACGCCTGGCTAATTCCGGGCTATCAGCTAATTTATAAAATATTACTAGCCGACTGGCCAGTGTCTAGGCTGTTAGTGCATAGCGTCAAGAACTGAGCCAGAATGCTATTACAGTGCGGCAACCCTGGGAGAACAAATATAAGGCTAACAAAGTTTGACCATTTAGGTCTACCAGCAAAAGTCCAGGACAACTGGTAGGACGTAGAAAATGTACTGAGTATCTGTACATTGGGATTATTTGCAAAACTTTGAGATTCTTACAAAAATAGGTATTTTCAGTGAAGTAGAATTATTATGCGTTCACTTAAAGTGCCTTTTAAAGTTTACTTGAATGCAATAATGCACATCTTTGCTTGAGTATGAACTTTATGCTTCAAGGTGACTGATCAATCAAAAAAGCAAAACGTTCAGGCAACTGAATGGCATAATTTCTAGGCCATCAGTAAGTGGCCGTTACTCTGCTAAATATCTAGTGGACTGGCAGCCCCCAACCGTGGCTACATCTTCAGAAGAGAAACTTACCAATCCAAGCCAGGCCTGTTTTAGTTGTTCCAAACTCCTTCTGAAACGATGAGGTGAACACCAGGCAAAGGAATAGCACATAAGACATAGTGTGGTTGATGAACTTGGAGTTCGTATAACTTCCTAAACTTCCAGCAGCAGACATGTTTAAATTTACTGCAGCTGCTTAGTCGTACCAGTCGAACAGGAATGTAAAAGATGCAAGTACCTGCGACGAAGAGAAACTGAATGAGAAACCATAAGGCCTTCCTGACTATGCCTCGATCTTGCCAATTTCGCCATCCACGATAAACGATCTCGTTGAGAACATATTGGCAATTGGGGATCGCCACGAACTGAAAATGAACAGAATTGAAATCATTAATTGCCAAACAGTGTTAAATTAATCATAAATAGATCATAAACCACTGATTTCTATTGCTTGCTCTACAAATCTCCTAGGCCTGCTCCCGGTTTATTCATCTGGATTGACCCCGATTTCTTCTGCACATATGAGTTACTAACTTACTGAGATCATTTCCAAGAACTCACAACACGTTTGCATTTTGCATTTTAATCCTTCACAATTTGTTAAACTTGAGGCTGATGTCTTCTGCACATATTCTGAGGTGTTAAAGTACTGAGATCATTTTCAAGAACTCACAATACAGTCGCATTTTGCATTTTAACACCTGATTTTAATCCTTCACCATATGTGAAATTTAAAAGGCTGATGTCTTCTGCACATATGCTGAGGTATTTACTCACTGAGATCATTTCCTAGAACTCACAATATATTTGCATTTCTAATTAATTCTTCACAGCTTGTGAAATGATCTATTAGAATATGAGGTAAATATGACAAAACGCAATGTTACTCCATCCAAGTGTATACCAACCCTTTTCCGTTTTTTATCAGCGGCCGGCTGCTGCTTGAGGAGACTAAGACTCTGATTAAAATCAGCGGGCGTTTTGTTCAGTAAAGAACTATTTCCTTCGATGTCCATGATTTCGTGAAGCTGGTTTAAATCTGAAGTGTCTACTTGTTCGACGATATCTGCAGCGAACGTCTCATATTCCTCAGCTCGACGCTTGTATTCATCTCGGCTGTAATAGTGCTTATACGAGGCGATTTTCTCCAGAAGATATGCGTCATCCAAGGCAGCTTCAATGATGTCTGTAGACGTGCTTTCTTTGCGTCTTTCTCCTTTATTGCATTGGAAATTGGGATTATTCCTCCAAAGCCATTCTAGACCGATGTACAGTGGATTGCTGAGAATTTCGATCCATCTCCGTTCTTCTTGGCTTCGCATTTCTGTCTTCGTCTCTTCAAGCTCGTCTACATTGCACTTAAGCATATGGTATATGGCATGTGGCAAATGGCATATTGAATTCTTTATTGTTTGGCAGATTTTCTTGCAATCCCAACTGCACTTGAAATGACATCCATTTTCTTTGTTGTTCTCCCTCTCTGCGATGGTTGTGCAGACCTCATTTATAGTTTCAAGTGTCTTGTTGCTATCGGTCTCGTTGATCTTGGCTATGAGTTTCCAAACTTCAACAACATCGCTTTGTGCGAGAGCGTCTTCAAGTTGCTTTGAAGGCTAGTTCTGAGAATCCCTCCCGTTTTCAGCCGTTCTAGTTTAAGGCAACAAGAAATTGTCTACCTCCTCCTTTGTTCCCGTCTGTACTAGTTCCAGAAAGTTTTCGATGGTGTCACCTGACTGGTTTTTGTGTCTTGATTTGCGAGGGAAACTTCTTGCGCCATACTACTTTATAATTACAGACCGTTCGAGTGTGTTCTTTCTATTTCCTGGAAAGGGACATCGAAGCAATTTGATACTTAATCTCCAACTTGAACGACAGCTATAAAAGTTAACGCTAATTGGTTGAAGGGAAAGAAATTGTCACAGGATCTGCGTTATAGCAAAGTATGTGTTTTTTTTTTTCATTATTAACATTAGCGTTACTGTAAAAACCCGGTTGTAATTAATGAAGATCCTCGAAGTTCTGGTTATGTGTAAAGATTTCAATTAAATAAACAAAACTTACTCGGACATAACAAATTCCTGGGTTCAATAATGACTTAACAACCGTCCAAGCACGAACAATCAAAACTATCGTTTCGTGCCTGGGGTACGGGATCCCGGAGGAGTTGAAAAACGCGGGGTCTGGTGGAAAACACGGGGTCTAAGTGAAAAACATGGGATCCGGTGGAAAACACGGGGTCTGGTGCAAAACAAGGGGTCTGGTGGAAAACACGGGGTATGGTGGAAAACACGTGGTCTAAGTGGAAAACACGGGTTCTGTTGGAAAACACGAGGTACTGGTGGACAACAATTAAGAGCAAAACAGGGGGTGTAAGTGGAAAACACGGGGTGTAAGTGAAAAACATGGGGCACCGTTTTTTTTTTCGCCAAAATAGTAAAAATGAGAAGTGGAAATTTTAGTTTAAATTGCAATGAAAATCAATTCAGCATCTCGGCGTGAAACGCTTTTCTCAAACATTTTGTGGAGAAGAAAACCATTCAAGAGCCAACGAGCCTTGCAGTGGTTTTCTTTTGCATGGGGCGTCTATTTTATTTTCCTTTATAACTTGCGGGGATTTTTTTTACCTTTGAATAGCAATATTGAAGTATTAAAGATTATTCTGCTTAGTATCTTCAACCATGAAAAACAACAGTTGCCGTATGTGTTCGATTAAAAGCCGGTTACCTGTAAGTAGGACCTCAAGAAATGGCAACAAAAATTACCATAGAAAATAAGGAATAAACAGATAAAATATGCCTGGCCCAGCTATCAATTGGGACCTTACTAGCTATTCATAAATGATCAGACTCCAGGTTTATAATTACTTCTGTCGTATTGCACATTACATAGGGAAACCGGTCATTATTTATCGCCTGGGGCGGGGAGGTCGGAGGATTTTTGGGTAGGATGATTTGATTTTTAGGATAACCGAGGGGGGATCAGTCATAACTGAGAACCCAGAAGGGGGAATCACCGCAAATTATCGACAGAAACGTCCAAGCAACGGAAATGCCGAGTTGTCCAGAAGTGAGGAGAGTGAAGAATGATGATGAGGGCGGCCAAGATGCTGTCATTGCTGATCTCGATGACCACTCGAATGTCCGCATGCCAGTCTTTTGTATTAAATGAGTAAATAGAAGACGTGACGGTACAACCAGCAACTGTATAAAAAGAAGAAAATACGAACCACAAAAAAGTAATAAAACATAACAAGTGAGTAAAACTATTAAACTACAAATCAAAATGGGAAAGAGAACAGGAACAGTGGCAAATCATACTATAAGGTACAAATTACCCCTAAATGTCACATTCCCATACGGATTGAGTGGGCGGCTATTTGGCACTCTGAAAAGTAACTTTGCTGTTTCCAAGGACTTGGGATGGTTAGATTGCTGGTATGTCAACTGACATCATATATCGGTATCCATGCACAATGTCGGCTTCATGAAAGTACATCATATTTAGAAACATGAATGTTACAAGCACTAATGTTACGGTCTTTAGCTGAAAATCCTCCGACCTTCCCCCGCCTCCCCCTCCCAGGGTGTAGCTGATGAGGAAAGCTTGTTACTGTTAAACAAAGTACTTACCCAAAGGTTTTTGTATTCAAAATGGACGACAGATCGCTCTGGGAGTTGATTCTTCACTATGGCCTTTTTCTTGGAGGTATTTTCCAGCTGATATGCATTTTAGCGATTGTTATAGTTCCTTCAGATAACTCGGTGGATGATGAAGGCATTTTACTGAACAAAGAAGACAAGCTTCGAAAATTTCAAGGACAACAAACGTTGCAGTCGCAAACAAGATTAAGAGAACGAAGAAAGAAGAAGTGACACTGCCGTTATTTTTGCTGGGTTTGGCTGAAGTTCTCCAGGTTCTCCAGCTTATAATCGCCTGGCTTGAAAAAAAAAAAAAAGAAAGGAATCAAGTTTTCATAGTCTTCTCATGTTTTCCGCTGGTGGTACTTTGGACGCTGAAGTATGAGCTTGAAAGTAAGCTAGAAGTATGTACGGAAACTACAGTCCATCAATAGTTGTGTACATCATTGTACCGTCGATGGCGTACTTGAAGTGAACTCTTATTTACACTTATACACTTTTCGTCGTTTTATGTAGACTTTGCAGATAATTTACCAGCATTATCAGGGAAATTTGTTTATTTAATAGAGGTTGTTAGAGTCTCGGATAGATCAATGTATTGAAACCGGCAAATCCCCCAGTCTTGTATCGTGTCGCTAAGTCAAAATGTTGGCAGTCTGCTGACTTGTTTATATCTTTTCGTGTAGGTTTTAAAATTATTTTTGTTGCCAAGTTTTGTTCAGAGAGTTAGAGTTTTTTGTTGCTGGTTTGAAAAAGTTTCTGTTGCTTGTCTGGACTTTGCAACTGAATTGCAGATTTCCTTTTTGTTTTGCATATGCTGGTTTCAAAATTATTTTTGTTGTGCTAATGAAGAAGTCAAATGTAAACAGAAGTCCTTCAATTTCTTTATTCTATTGGCTAAATTAATCACACTGGTGTCACATGATTGGTTAAAGTGTCAGATTCTTTTGTTTCAAACTCATGCCATTCAATGCTATGATAAGTTGAAAACTTTCAGAGGTCATTGTAATGTAATTACTCTTGCCCTTTCCCTGGGTCTCCAAGGAAGAGGAAGGAAGTAGACTGGAGAGATGGAATCAGTGCTTGACATTATGCAGTCCACAATGAGAAGGAAATGTTGCTGAATGACGTCATAGGCACTGAGTCACAATGAGTCGCTGACAGGTGCACATTCTATTTGCCGTAGATACAGTAGCTTCAGTAGTCATAAGGTGTATGACTATGGAGACATTTTGAACAGAAGGGCTGTGAATTCTTGATAATTTTCAACTTATTCTTAGGGCCATCCAATTTTAGACTGGGGAATGAATTGTGTAATAAGGCTCTTTTATTTGTGACTTAAATTAATTTATGAGGTTACAAGAATTTTTGAGTAATACACCAGCCTATTGCCACTGAATGTTTTGTTTTATCTTGTCTGTTCACATTAATGAACACCAACTATGACATTGTGTTTAACAGTTTCAGTGTGATCACTATTACTAAACTATTATTTCCTTTAAGTTTGAAATGTGATTGTTGTTAGTGAAATGTAATGTACCTTACTCAGGCCACAGGGAGCATACAATCTTGTTGAGGATAAGAGCAAATCAAGGAATGAAAATAATGAATAGTTTAACTTTGTCTCTTGTTGTTATCTCTTATGAGAACTTAGAGGGAAATGGCTAGATATAAACTAGAAAATTTTTTTGCAGTGCGAAAAGGTTTTGGTACGAGTTTAGCACTACAGTGTTTTGCAGGGCATGTGGATAGCAGTTTTCCTAGAAGTTCATGTAAGAGATGACAACAGGAGACAGAGGTAAACTATTCACTTTTTTTTCATTCCTTTATTTCCTCTCATCCTACTCAACAAGATTGTGTGCTCCCTGTACCCAGGCCCTTTGCAGATGGAACACTTGGCTAGTTATCAATTTGGAAGGGTAAATGACCCTTTCCCTCTATGAGGTATGGCTGCAGGAAATTATGGTAGTTGTATTTATCAAGTCTAGTCCAAGATGGTAGACAGTGGTAACAAAGGCTTGCCTTCTGAAAACTCCTCATTTGGGGACTCACACTCAAATAATTTACATCTACAGCAACAACTCAAATGCACAGTCAGCAAATATAGTTGCTACATTGTTCTCGTAGCTTTCTTTCCACTTTCAAAGTGTGCCAAACATACTCAGTGGCTCATTAGAGTAAAGCAGGGTAAAACTTTCTCTCGCGATGTGATCTATCCACTTCCCTCTCGATGCAGGCTCTTTCAGGAAAATATAATTAACCTCGGCATTTCTCCTTGAATTATTTGCATTATTTGAATTATTTGCATTTGGGGACTCAACATGTATTGTCACCACTTTGTCCTTTCGAAGGCAACTTTTCATCCCCTCTCAAGTGGTCCGCCATCTTGGATCTGGCAACCTGCATTGGACTTGAACTACCATAACTCCCTGCAGATGTGAGTCTCATAGAGGGAAAGGGCCATTAAACCTTGAAAAGAGCTGCATCACAATTTGCACATCTTGAAAAATTTAGCCTTAATTTTTCAAGTTTGTCGTTTGTAATCCAGGTCAATCTTCTCCATCCTTAACCATCCTTGTTCCTTGATTGTTTATTGTTATGTCTTAAGTGTTTTTCTATCTTAACACACTATTAGGTTTTTTGCATGTGGTAATAATAACTCAAAAATGAGTGCGCTCCTCTAAGGATAGCTCATGTGACCATATGGTCTGCAAATGCACTATGCAGCCAGGCATGCTCAGTTGATTGAAAATAGGCCAATTTCAATATATTAAAATTATAACTTGGCCCTGAGGCTTAGGGAATTAAAACAAAATAAATCACATCAGGTTAAAGGATGAATATTTAATGTCTTTTATTTCATTCCCCTAAGCCGTGGAGTTCGAATCTCAATATATCCAAATTGGCCTATTAATTGATATTACTCAATATATATGGGTTATTTACCAAGTGTGAGGTCAAGATGGCTGGATATTGGCCAAGTTCTTTTTTTGTGTGTTTATGGACTGAGATGGAGTCGAGGTCCATANGGAAATTGGGATTATTCCTCCAAAGCCATTCTAGACCGATGTACAGTGGATTGCTGAGAATTTCGATCCATCTCCGTTCTTCTTGGCTTCGCATTTCTGTCTTCGTCTCTTCAAGCTCGTCTACATTGCACTTAAGCATATGGTATATGGCATGTGGCAAATGGCATATTGAATTCTTTATTGTTTGGCAGATTTTCTTGCAATCCCAACTGCACTTGAAATGACATCCATTTTCTTTGTTGTTCTCCCTCTCTGCGATGGTTGTGCAGACCTCATTTATAGTTTCAAGTGTCTTGTTGCTATCGGTCTCGTTGATCTTGGCTATGAGTTTCCAAACTTCAACAACATCGCTTTGTGCGAGAGCGTCTTCAAGTTGCTTTGAAGGCTAGTTCTGAGAATCCCTCCCGTTTTCAGCCGTTCTAGTTTAAGGCAACAAGAAATTGTCTACCTCCTCCTTTGTTCCCGTCTGTACTAGTTCCAGAAAGTTTTCGATGGTGTCACCTGACTGGTTTTTGTGTCTTGATTTGCGAGGGAAACTTCTTGCGCCATACTACTTTATAATTACAGACCGTTCGAGTGTGTTCTTTCTATTTCCTGGAAAGGGACATCGAAGCAATTTGATACTTAATCTCCAACTTGAACGACAGCTATAAAAGTTAACGCTAATTGGTTGAAGGGAAAGAAATTGTCACAGGATCTGCGTTATAGCAAAGTATGTGTTTTTTTTTTTCATTATTAACATTAGCGTTACTGTAAAAACCCGGTTGTAATTAATGAAGATCCTCGAAGTTCTGGTTATGTGTAAAGATTTCAATTAAATAAA